TGTCCAGGCTGTTCATGTTTGAGATCAGACCTAGGGCCTCATGCATGTCAGGCAAGTAGTCCACCAGTATGCTCAGACCAGATGAAGAAAGGTTTTGGTGTTTTAGTTTTTTGTTTTATTTTGTTTTAAGATGGGTCATGTTGTGTAGATTTGGTTGGTCTCAGACTCCAGATAAATACATCTTACTGCTGCCTCACCTTCACTTGAGAAGAAAGATATTCATTTGTAATGTATATAAGAAAAGGTCATTCAGTTGAGCTAAACATTTATGAAAGTAATACTGTAGCAGTCTATCTCTCTCTCTGCCTTTTACACAGTTTCATTATGTAACCAAGGCTGTCCTGGAACTCACTCATTAGCTACAGATCTGACGTCTTCCTGTTTCATCTCCCTGAGTATTGGGAATACAGGCAGAAGTCACCATGCTGGACAAACATGCTTTGTGCTTTGAGTGAAGGCAACTTGGATAACTCCGCTCTGGTGGAGAGATGACCATGGATGTTCATGTCCCCCCTGCAGTTCTGAACTGACCGCTAGGTTATGTGACGAGAGAAGAGAGTTAAATTGTCACAGGTCTGTGTAGCTGGAGAGCTTCTTCTCCAGGTTCTGCCAAGCCCCTGCAGTCCAACAGCCCACTTATAAAATAAACACACAGATGCTTATATTATTTAAACTGTTTGGCCTAATGGCTCAGGATCCTTGTTAACTGTTCTTATCTTATCTTAAATTAACCCATTTCTATAAATCTATACCTTGCCATGTGGCTCGTGGCTTACTGGCATCTTCACATGCTGCTTGTCATGGCGGCAGCTGGCAGTGTCTCTCTGACTCAGCCTTCCTGTTCCCAGAATTCTCTTCTCTGCCTGTCCTGCCTATACTTCCTGCCTGGCTACTGGCCAATCAGCATTTTATTTATATAGAACAATATCCACAGCAGGTCTGAGCCAAGCAAGGACCTTCACAGGGAGGCTTTCTAATGACTTTCAACACAATCTTGGGGACATCAGCTGACTTTAGCTCACCTGACTTAAGGCCTACAGATTTTTACAGAGCCTCGACAAATCCACATCCAATAGATATTCATAAATTTGCAGCTATTTTAATGTACTCATTAAGGTCTTTTAAAAACACAATGAAAGCACATTCATTTGGTTTTTTAAATATCGAAGCATGCCCTTTGTAAGAATATTAAACATAAACCTCTGGGTATAATTTCACAAAACAACACAGGAGTCAGTATTCCCAAGTCTTAAGCATCTTATGTAATATTATTTGTGGCATTTAAGTTTCATAACACCCGTTGGAAATGAACTCCTCGGCATGAGGTCGCTGCTGCTTATGTTAGCCCTAACAGGGCGCCTCTCGCTAACATTCCCTCCAAATGGGCCTTCTGTGCTTCTCAGTGCCAGAGAAACCCCAAAGGTTCTTGTCTGCCAGCAACGCTCACTTGCAAACAAAACAACACTCACGCTGTGTGTTCTCATTTCCACCTCCTTCTGCAAAGATCCCGAAGCCCTTTACTTCTCGAGAGTTCCAGAGACTTCGTGAGTTGATAACTGATAAGGCCTATGTTTTGCTGGGGAGAAAAGTGTTCACGAGTCGCAAATGCTGAAGGGAGCCTTGGCTGTTAGGACCTGGTGTCATGCTTTTTAACACAGCAGGGGAGCTAGACTGTGAGAAGAAAACGCCCCGCCTCTTGGGCTGCCTGCTCCTGAGTCTATAAACTGAAGAGAGAGTGATCAGCGGACAGTGAAGGGGTCAAGGGGCCGACTCCTCCCAGAAGCTACGGTGTGAGAAGCCCGGACTACGGGGGTCAATCCTTCTCCACCTCCCAGCCTCACCTGTACTGAGTGCAAAGAGCAGGCAGTTCTTGGACAGGCCTCCGAATTTCCCGGATGCCCTGCTAAACCAGAGTCTCCGAGGCCCCGCCCTGGAGCTGCTCTGTCAGTACGTCCAGAATGGGGTCTAGGGATGTCTATCTTAGAAGCTCCCAGGGATTCCGAGGCCGCTGCTCTAAAGGCCCCAGGCTGAGAACTGCTGCCCCAGAGCTGGCAGATTACACTGAGGTGCAGGAATCTCTAACATCCAAACACATCCAATAGACAATGGAAAAATAAGAGCCATGGCCACAAACAAAAGAACAGCAATAGAACAAACACAGGAACCCCGGAACCCTTGACTCACTTGCAACACTTTAGAAGAAATGCTCTTGTTGGGGTAACTGCTTTAAGAGACATGTTTACCATTTTTAAAGATACGGAATTCTCCAGTGTATTTATTTTACTATCTGAATTATGAGTTTTCAATTTATAAGCAACTCTGGGAAACTCATATCATGTGGGCAAGGGGAGGTACATGACAGACTTAAATCCACTGGAGCTTATGAAAATGAATTCAATTTCTGTGAGTTCAAGAACAGATTGGACTCCATAGGAAGTTCCGGGCAAGCCAGGGATACATAATGAGACACTGTTGTAAGATGAACAGCAAGACAAAACAGGAACACAACAACGGAAAAAAAAACCGAGATTTTAAAAGCAAGAAAGACGGCTGCAGAGATGGCTCGGCAGTTAAGAGCACTGGCTGCCCTTCCAGAGGTCATGAGTTCAATTCCCAGCACCCACGCCAGCAGGCTCACAGATCACCTGCATCTTTAATTCTGGGGGATCTGACATCCTCTTCTGGACTTCACAGATCCTTCACACATGTGGCTTACACATATTCATGCGCGCGCGCGCGCGCACGCGCACACACACACACACACACACACACACACACACACACGTTCCTATATAATTTTTAAAAATAATACATCTAAAAAAAGAGTGAAATTGGGTCTCTTTTGATTTCTTCTATGACTGTTCCATAAAAAGCCATCTGCGACATTGGACTACTTCGAGAAGACCCTTGCCAGAGGCAACCCCTCTATCTTAGATTTCTCATCCTCCAGAATCATAAGCCAAATAAATGTACTTTCATTATCCATACTGTTAGTTAGTATTATGTGGCGCTGTTTACTGTGTGAGAAAAGCCATGAGGCACGACAAAATCCAGTAGAAGAGTTTATCAAGAGAAGGACCAGAGGGGAGTGTTTAGACCTATGGGAAATGATTGTGCAGGGAGAGAGAGAAGGGATAAAATGGAACCTGATTTTTTAATCATATTTTTTTAAAGATTTACTTTTATTTATTAAATATACAGTGTTCTGTCTGCATGTGTCCTTGCAGGCCAGAAGAGGGCGCCAGATCTCATTACAGATGGTTGTGAGCCACCATGTGGTTGCTGGGAATTGAACTCAGGTCCTCTGGAAGAGCAGTCAATGCTCTTAACCATGGAGCCATCTCTCCAGCTCCGGAACCTGTTTTTTTTATAGGTTCCCCGCTGCACATGTGCATATGGGCTTATGTGGCTGTGCCACACATGCGCATAGATTACGAGATCACGCTGCTCGAAAATTACATGATCATACTGCACTCGGATTACATTAGACCCTGGAATGGCAAAACCCTTTGCTTGGCTACTGGACAGCGCATGTGCGGTCATGTAGCTGGAGAAGTGGCCAAGTATTCTCACATAACTCATGGTGCTATTCCATGACAGCAGCAGAGACTAAGACAGACCTTGACTAAAGACCTTTGTCAATACCAACATTAAATGCGGAGGCCTACAAATTCCTAAAGTCAGAGGTAGATGCAGGGTTTGAACTCAGGTTTACTCAACCGATACTTTTTACCTGGAAGCATCCAGGGTTTAAAAGCACTACAGGCAGAGGTAATTTAGGCCACCATATGGCCCAGACTCCTCTGCAGTCCCTAGGAAGTGGCTCCCTTCTCTCCTACAATGTGTGCATCTTCTCTCTAAGAAATCAGGGCTCTCCAGATCGGGGCTGCAGCACTGGCCATACTCCTGAGCCTTGTTTCCACAGAGAACAGTGTGACTGTCCCATGACATCTGAACCATACTATAGGTGCTATGGCTCCAGAAATCTATTGACAGGGAGCATAGAAGAATCAGAGAGAAGAAGATGTGCTTCCGTGATGGAGGCTGTGAGATCCTTGGCCCAGGAGTGTGTCACTATAGGAGGGAATGAGAGAGAGGAGAGCCACGCAGCAGCTGGAAGCTGGAAGTTCTATAACTGTTTAAAGAACTGAGAACTGTGTGTGAGCCTGTAACCCTGGCACCCAGGAGCCTGGGGTGGGAGGCTCCCGAGTTCAAGGCTCACATGCCCTACATAGTGAAGCCCTGCAGCAGACAGACAGGCAAACACAATAAAGAGCTTAGTGCCTAAATAAAAATAACGACATTTCCTCCATGAGCTCCGAAAGGGGGTACATTCTCTTAATTTCTTTTTGTCTGCATGGAAAAGTCAAGTACCCAAGGAACCCTATTAATATTCCCTGCGAACTACAAAATTAAAGACCACATTACTATTTTAAGAACCAATAAATGTATTCACGGATGAAAAGTTTCCACATGGGCTCTTGCTGCCTTCTCAAGTCCATCTGATTGGGGGTGGGGGTTGAAAGGGTATACGGCGCTGGTGTCCGGCACTGGAAACCGTGGCGCGCTGGTTTGGTCGGCGGCAGAAAGGTCACAGTCACCACAGAACCCAGTGGTACCTTTTGGAGCTTTATTAGAAAAAGAGAGAGAGACAGAGACAGAGAGACAGAGACAGAGAGAGCGCGTGGAGGTGCACGTCCGGCTTTTAGGGTGGGACGCAGTCGCCGCTGATGATGTAATAAGGTGCCAGACGAGACCCCGAGATGCTCATATACAAAATCCTAACAGGGGTGAGGGTGAGGTTTCTGACGGGTTTCCATGACTTCACCCCAGGTCTTGCCCATGTAGAAGAAAGAGAGAACAGCACATCGCCTGGGTTGGTTGTCTGTCTGCTGTTTGCTTTGACGGACAGTGTGATGCGTCTTTCAGCAGACTCCTTGTCCCTGTGGGCAGTGGCTCCTCATGTTACTCAAACCATAGCTTCTCCCCGAGGCTGGGGGATGACAGCTACTCCCTCCTGATGCAAAGCATTTGAGTGTATTAGGAAAAGAAATTCGGGTTGGTGTTTGGAATTGTGCTTGAGGATTTTGTGGATCCTCTCCAGTGTGTTTCAAGCCCTAGAGAACTCAAATCCAGCAAGAGGTCTGATCCAGGTCCCACTGGCAGAGGCTTGTTGAAATTAACTGCTCAAAAACTGTGATAGATATTCAGAACTGGAAGAGAATTTTCAAAGTCATCTTGCCCCGAACAGTTTATTTCTCAAATTCAGGAGTGAGGCCCAGAGAGGCAAATAGTAATAACAGCCACTGTCAATCGTTGGTTAATGACCGGGTAAGTTCTGAGAAATGGACTTAGAGAAACCGAAATGACTATGACGTCACTAGGCCATCTCATCTTCGGAGCCATCATAGATGTTCTCTGTGATTAACTAGATGCCATCCTATGGTATTGGCTATTCTGGCATTTCTGTAGGTCGTCAGAGTCTACAAAATGCTGTCCTATCCAATACCTTAGTCAGACAGGGCAACTGTCCCCAGCCCCTGTGTCCTACCCAGGCCTGGGCTCCCTCCCCTGGCTTTCATGATGAATAAGGCAAGAATCTGACAGGCAGCTCAAAATAAGGACCACGTTTTTCCTAACTAAGAAAAGCAGAGGTAGCAAAAGGAACAAAATTCTTCAGTAGTCAGCAGTTCACACCACACCTTCAGGCTGTAGAATTCCTAGCCCAGGAAGTCTGTAATCGTCAGGGAAGACAGTCAGCTTTCCGGGTGAGACATGTGTTTGTGTCTGTCTTCGCTCTGCGTAAAGAGATGGGGTTTTCAAGCATGAACTCCCGAATATCGCGGGTCCCTTGGCCTCTGCACCTTCTGTTGATCTCTGGCTTTCACCAGAATGAACTGAACCTCTAACAGACCCAGCACTTGGAGCCACGGACAGTTCCCAGACTGCTTCTTCAGCTACAGTCTGACGGCTAGAACCACAGAGTGTTGATAGCTGTAAGGCGGATGCTGATGAGAATGTGGACTCTGAACCTTTTATTTTACTAACGACAGAAAACCAAGTCACAGAAGCGTCATACAGCAGATGTGTGGATGTGACCCCACAGCCTTCAAAGTCTCTTTTATTTTTTTTTTCCAGGCTGTGATCCTCAGGACTGTAGAATAAGAAAGTGCTTCTGGGTGTGAGTCCAACCCCTCACAGTATGAAAGAGACTTGCTCAACATAATTATCTTGGCCAACAATACTAGAACATGCAGCAAACTCGAGTTTCCTTAGCATGGAACTACCCATTTATTGTTGTCATAACATTATTAACAATACCAGTTTAAGTTTTTTGGTTAGGGGCTGGAGAGATGGTTCAACAGTTAAAGGTATGTGCTCCTCTTGCAGAGACCTGAGCTCAGTCCAGCACCCAGGCCACATAGTTCACAAGTCCAGTTCCAGGGTGATCAAATGCCTCTGGCCCGTGGGTACCTGCACTCACAAATATGTATCCACACACAGGTCCATACACACGTACACATAATTTTTTTAAAAAATCTTTTAAAAATGTGATTACTGGATAACATACAGGGATTGCTAAAAATTTGAGGAGCAAGGAAAAAAGACACAACAAAACTCAACTATCCCACTCAGACAACTATGGACACATTTTTTCCTGATATATTCATAATTTTAAAATATTGTGTTTACAAAGCCTTCTGCAATTTGCTCTTTAAACAACATATTGTGAGTAGTCTAAAGACACATTTAGTATTCTGTCGCAACAGTGGGAACTACCCACTTAAAGAGTTCATATTACCAACCGTACCCAGAAGGAACCATCACAGAACAGTGTGTAAGGCTTCCTAAGTCAACTTGGCAGCATTTCAACAGAATATTATCACAATTTTCAACTCATCCTGTTGTTTTCAGGGCCCATGATGCTGACATGGATCTGAATAGTTTGGGGCAAGTTAGTCATTGTTGTGGAGGTAAACAGGGAGTCCCAGACCATCTTCTATCATGGGTAAGGGGTCCCAGGAGAAGAAGATGCTGTAACAGTCTCCAGGTGTGAGGAGGGGCTGTCGTGGGTTTCCCTAGTAGGACTGGTGGACTGAGAGAGGAAACCTATTGTCGACAGGAGCCTTCACAATAGCAAGGGCATCTTGGAGTCAGTTGGGAACCTCTATAGAAATCGGGACATATGCGTTTTGTTGATGACTGAAACCATAGCGAGTGCCCGCTGTGAGGAAAACCGCCAGCAGCCAGCTGAAAAAGAGACTAGGACAATGCCGGCAGCCTTGGGGTTTGGGGGAAAGTGTGTGCCGAATTTGCAGCCTGAAGTGTGCTCACGGTGGCCGCCATTGGTCGATCAACCTCCTAGTCCAAGCCAGGTGGATGTTCCAGGAAGAAAGGACATCTGTCCCCAGGGGTGACATTAACTTTTAAAGTCACAGGCTCAGCTACTGCTGCTGCTTCCACAGTGATGGTTTCAGTTAGGAGAGGTAATAAGAAGAATTTGGTGGGCATTGGCCAATGCACAGAGGAAGAAGAAAAGTTGATACTGGGATTTTAATTGAGCATCTAAGAGTTAGTGGTGCTGACCTTGTGGTAGGCATTGGTGGCACAGAACTGGAGTGAGCCAAGTTAAAGCTGAATGTGAACCTTTTGTGGTGAACCACAAAGAGATGGAGAGAATTTATGAGTCCATGCACCTAAATTAAGACTCGCATAAATAAGGAACATATGTAAACAGTAGCAATGCCCAGTTGTAAAATAGTATTCTCTATATTAATTTTATCACTAATATTGTTATTGATATTGGGAAGCAAGGAAGAATGCCAAGTCTGTAATAGGGTACAATCTACACACCAGTAGCTTTGTGGGGATTGGTGGGGATTATCACTTATATAGACAGAAATTATTTAAATAAGATTACGATGATGAAAGGAACTACACACACAGACTTGAAAATGGGAGCACCAAGAAATGATGTTCTCTTTATTGCTCAGACATTTGACAGAAGCATTTCATAATTTCACTGCAATCAGACCTCCGTGTGCACCCTACACACTTATAGATTCAGCCAGCCACAGATCGGAAACATTGTAAAAACTTGCCCATATTGAACATGTGCAGTTTTTTTTCTTGTCGTTACATCATAAACAATACAACATAATAATTATTTTCTAGCATTGATATGGCACTGGGTCCTGTAAGTACTCCAGGGATGACTGAAAATGTGCTGGAGTATGTGTTTAGGTTATGTGCAAATTCATACCATTTTAAATGTTTGTTTTTTCACTTATTAAATGCATGTGTATCCATATGTACTGGGAGTGTGGAGGTCAAAGGATAATTCTAGGTGGTTTGGATTAGAATGTCCCCTATAGGCTCATACGTTTGAAAGCTTGGCCACTACTGGAACTATTTGGCAAAAATTACAAGTGTGGCCTTGTTGGAGGAGGTGTGGCCTTGTTGGAGGAGGTGTGGCCTTGTTGGAGGAGGTGTGGCCTTGTTGGAGGAGGT